TCTCAATGCTCATTTGGAGGATATTTCGGTGATTATTCAATGGTCATTCGACTTCCAGTGCTCGATCTTAGTGGCAAGAAAACAGCTCGGAAAGGCATTCCACTCTTGGATCGAGTTATGCTTACTCGACCAGAGTGAGGGGACTAGATGATATAGGATATTATACTGGACCCGGTTTATAGATAAAGCGGATACATATTGGAGGATAAGCCCACTAAGATATCTAAGCCCAACTTGGGCCCAAAAGGTACACTCCCCCGATAAAAGGGGGCCAAGGTACCTCAATCTCATTCTCTCTCCTCATTATATCACTACACTTTCTCTCTCTTGATCTGGGCACTGACTTAGGCATCGGAGGCCCGACGCCGGGGTCACCCCCGGCGTTGGGTTCTGCAGGTACGGAGGCCGGTTCGAGTTGAAGGAGCCCGGGTGAATCATATTCACTTCAGTTATGAAATTGTATGTGAAGAATTTTGGTTATGGAAATGACAACAGATTCTGGTTATGGCTTGATCTTATGGTTAGTTTCTGCTTACTTTAGTTTGTTTATGGTGTGATTTTGTGGTTATGGAGATGAACTCAAAGTTATGTTTACTGTTTGCATAAGGTTGGTTACTTTAGGGCAAAATTTAATCATGTTGTTGATCATTTGAAAGCTTAATAAACATGAACATTCATCAAACAACAACAAGGTACAAAATTTAACACACACATAGTGGTCATTCATCAAACAACAACACAAAGTGAGAATTCAAAGGGAAAGATAACAAGTACAAAAGGTTCACACATACACATCTAATCCATGACTGAAGAAAAACATACAACTTTCAAACTTTCACCACAAGACAACAATAGAAAAAAAAATAATGAAGAGCAACCATGTCGCAGCAACAAACACTTGGAGCTTCAAGATTTTTTGTCGAATTTTGGACAATTCTTCATCATAGATGTCCTGCACATGCAACTGGAGTTCAACACTCTCCTTCAATTTTTTGTTCTCGGCTTCAAACAATAACATCCTGTTCCTGACCTCAATTATTTCATTGGCAAGAATCTGATTGTTCTAGCTCTCTGGATCATCCTCCCATTTAAAGAACGTACAACCCCCATCCTTCCAATTCTTGCAACCATGAAACTTCTTACCAGGATTTGATGGAGTCCTTGATGTGCGTAGTTGAGCTCTCTTACCACAGTAACATAAAAGATTGGAAGGCGACGAGAAGGAAGAAGAAGCAGACGACATCGGGTTCGCTCTCTCTCGGTTTTTTTCAATTAGGGTTCATGAATTTTCAATTTGGGGCAAAAAATGGTATTTAAAGACTCTTAGGTGATGTGGCAATTTCTTTATCCACCTCACAATTGATTTTCGTCTTATTTAACATACAGCCGCCACATCGAATAAAAAAATGCCACGACAAAATTTTATCCTGGGGTGGGATAAAAAAGGACCATAAATGATTAAATGGACAAATTATAGGACCTAAATTGAAAGTGGATTATATAGGGGTGGTTTTTTGGACTATGGCCAAGTTATAGGACCAAAAATGAAATTTTGCCCGAGAGAGAGGGTAGAATCCCTTAGGGTCTGCGCGTGCTTGCTGCTGAGGGAGATGAGAGTTTATGATGATGGCTGGGGGATTTATGTAATAAGCTGAGGGGGATTTAATCTCAAGTTAAGGGCTTAAACATGTATATATATACACATGTCATAGGTTTGATAAATTGCTTGATTCACAAGACAAATCGCACGCACACACCCGCATGGAAAAAATAAAGGGGACCGGGTTCTCGGTCGGGTCGGTTCACATGCTGGTTCGAGATAACAACTCGTTCTCGGGCTCGATTTAATCGCATGATTAAAATAAAAATTTAGATAAATACATATATATTTATAATACACATTTTTATTTAATTATAATATGACATTTAGACAATTATTATTAATAATAGTATTATCAATAATAACAACAAATAATAGCAAATTGGCATTTAATAATAATAATAATAAATGCAATTAATATTAGCAATAATCTAATTATTCCCAAATAATCTACGGTAAAACGGGGTATTACAGTCTATCCACCTTACAAAGAATTCCGTCCTCGGAATTCGAAAATAAAAATCTAGAAAGCGATAAAAATACAAAGGAGAACTCAAAACTCAAAGTTCGGATACTTCTGCCGGATATCATCCTCTCTCCCAAGTCGCCTCATCCTCGCCATGTCGGCTCCATCGTACCTTTGACGAGTCTAGCTGCCCGGTTTCTCAGCTGATGAACCCTCACGTCCAAAACAGCCACCGGTACCTCAACCTAGGTAAGGTCTCACTCGACCCGCAACTCGCCAAAGTCCACACCACATGCTCAAGGTCACGCGCGCTCTCACGAAACATCACACGTGGAATACGTCGTGAACCCCACCAAAACTAGTGGTAAAGCCAACCGGTATGGTAGGTTTCCGACTCGCTCGAGTATCACACATGGCCTTACGAATCACGGCTGAAGTTTTCCCCTCCTCCTGAAACGGATCACACCCTACCTCTGTGCATCCTACAGGAACACAATATCACCCACCTCGATCCAGTACAGCGGCGTTCTCAACGTACGCCCGTACAACTCCTCACAACACATCTATCAACACACAAGACTCTCAACGATCTTCCTGTGTGTTGATAATATACTGCAATGCTCCCAA